TTTTAACAGTATGCGGTAGATATGGATGCCCATTCTCTACAGTATAGTGTGTTGTTAACAGTATGCGGTAGATATGGATGCCCATTCTCTACAGTATAGTGTGTGTTAACAGTATGCGGTAGATATGGATGCCCATTCTCTATAACAACATAACATGGAATCTACTACATGATCAAAGAGCATTTGTTGACCTTTTCACATGGCATTTTTACAGGACGTAATAGTTTCCCCTTCCTTGGTCAGTTGGTGGCCTAAAGCCCTGTCTGACTCAGCATCACGACACTGAGATGCTGAAGGGGTCCAGGCACGTCCTAAACAATCATAATTAAACCGCTGATCCATCATTTTCCACAGAAACTACACGACCAGCAGTGCTATGGTCAGCCTTTTCCCCACCTCCAAGGTGGCTTATCACAGGCTGTTTAACTGATCACCTGAATATAGTACCCCCCCCCCCCCCAAGACTTTCCCAAAAAGGTTGGTGCCGCTTGGATGAGGATTTCAAAATTATCGGTTATCCCAATAATGAGTACCAGATTACGAGTACCGATGCTGGCGTTCTGTCATCAGTCTGGAAGAAAATGGTAATTGGTGCATCCCTACCAATGGCATCAGAAATGTGGATTCTAGACCCCTGTGTGAAGAACGAGGCCTAGGTTTGACACTTACCCTTTCACCCACTTCTCTCGCGGGTCCTTGTAAACTTCATTTGATCCTACAACCCCTGCTGCGTTTCCAGTGTACGAATTAAATCCTGTTTTCACATCAGAAATAGATATGGTACAATGGACATTAAGTGACCATCATCAAGCTGCTCGATGGCTTACGAGCCCAGACCATTCAGTGTCAGATATCTGACCGGCAGTCAGAGTTGCTGGGTACACAGAGGTCAGCCTTTATTCCAGCTAAATTGGGTGTATTATGAGAGGCTAACACCACTCATACCTTAGAATTACAAGCTTCCATCTAAGTACTGAATGGCCTTATGTTTTTCCATAAAAAAGCAGGAGACCAGTTTTCTAATATGTTCATATTGTCCATCTCAGTCAAATGGGTGCAGGAGACTTTACGCTTTTTTGGCTTCATCGTGCAACAGCCTCAGGCAGCACCCAGCAACTCCACTGGTCTCCAGTCACACAAGTTCCACTGCTGTGGGACACACTGTTTAGGACTAGATCACATCACACTGCATGGATCTCGGGCATTCCTTTGCCAGTCTGAAGCAGAACAGAACTGGCAGGCAGGATCAAAGGCGGAGGTCAAAGGTCAGATTTACAGTTGCTTATAAACCAATGACATATGACTTCTCATTTGAGAGTCCGCTTGACAAATTACGTTTTGGACCGAGTGGTTCACTGATCCTCCACCTTTACTCCTCAGAAAGCCACACAGTCATGTGTTTGTGAAGAGTGGACTTTACGGAAGGAGCCCTCTCAGGTGAAGCCAGCTACAAATGTAATGAGACTCAGTTAGTCCCATAACCCATTTCTACTACCATAACAGTGAAATGGAGGCAGAGAGGAGAAACACATTGACCTGTGTGACTAATCATGATATATATATATATATATGTGCACACACACACACAAACAGAAATCCACTGGCGCTGGTCAAGTGTTTCTGGAACACCAAATGAAAATTAGACCAAACAGTGAACTGGATGTTGGGGTATTACATTAAGGCTTGGTTGTCAGTCAAAGAGCTGCTCCATTAATTTATAATGAATTCATGAATTCCCTCAAACATGGAGACAAGCCTGCATGCTGGCCTTATACTTTCTCTATTCAGCCCTGTTTTACGGTGGAAAGGAAGAAATACATGGCTGCTGTCCCATATGAAGGCACACAGACCTTTGGGTCAGTCTTGGTAACAGTCACCCCCCCACCCCTAACCTTTCACCTTGACCAGACCAGGGGATTGACCTATTTATACATTATGCAGGTGCTTCAGGTGAGAGGGTCACCTGAATGACTGCAGGGCCGGGAAAGGCCACTTACACAGGCTCCTGCACGGCACAGAAGACACACAGAGACACTCGCGCACACACACGAATCCACAGAGGAGTGACAGGACGCCAGAGACCTACGCTGCCTTTCCACATCATTGTACTCAACCTCGTCACTACTGGCTGAACTTCCTATGCCGTCAGGAAGTGAGAGAATACGTTAAAAAAAAAAAAAAGTCCATATCTGGAAAGCTAAGATGCTAGTTAGGGGCCGGCAGCATGGGCCTGGCGTCCGGACGGGAACTCCGCCTGTGGCGGCTGACAAAGAGGTGGGAACACATGGATTCCAAAGGAGGAGAAAGAGGCAAAGCAGAGGCAGTAAACAGCAATGGATATTGGGCTGATTGAAGCCAGCTCTGTCAGCAGGAGGGAGCGGGGGGGGGGGGGGGGGGGAAGCGGATGTTTCTGTGCAGTTTGGGCGATGCGGGAGAGCGGGGTTAGTGATTTTGTCCCTCAACTGGATCGGTGAATGCGGCGCAGATCACGGCGAGCCCAAAGCCAATGCGCACGCGACCCAGAACAAAGGAAGACCGCAGAGCTTTGCGTGGGCGCTACATGCAAGGCGAGAAGCTGGGCATCGCACGTTTGGGCCTGCCAGACCTGGCCGCATTACTGGCATTCTTGTCCACGGCTGTTTAAAGAAAAAAAATTAAGGGCTATAAAAACTATCTGCACCTGCTGCATTGACTAAAATACAGTATCACAGTAGAACACACGCATAACCATTTATTTTTTTAACATTCAAATTATTTTTTTAATATGCAACTTATTTCAATGGAAAATTTAAATAATGTAGAAAGACTTCAGCTATAATGGTGTGTATTTAAGTGAAACTACAAAAAAGAAAATTCTATTATCCAAAAGGTTCACTATTTACCCCCCATTAAAATTAAATTAAAATGATTAAAATGTACTCGAACTCAGAATTGTGGGTCAGGTGATTCACTACAGTGGCTGCTACTTTTTTCATGGTATCTGCTAGCTATTTTCAGCTACTTATTATTGCTAAAATATGCCATAAATATGTTGCTTCTCTCACTCAAGTGTAAAATTCTAGCTGTGCATAAGGTTCACCATTGAGGAATATTCTCCTCTCTTGGTTAAGTATGCAGACCTTTAAACAGCCGGAGACAAAAGAAATGCCCCATCCATCAGATCTGTTCCCCGTTGCCAAGTGAGATCTGCTGCTTGGACCACCCCAATCGGAGCAGACATGACCAACCGGCTGCTGAGGTGGATGCCAACCCCAAAGCGAAACCAAACAAACATGGACGGGCGTCAACACCAACAGTACTCTGATTTGATTGGGAGCGCAATGGAATCACGGCGTATCGATTGCTTTTACTCACAAGGATGATCGGTGGAAAGGGATTTGGTCTGGACAGTGAGAATTTATGGACAGAGTGGGGAAAATCATCAAAACGGAATCTACTCGCTAGTGGATTGAATGGGGGGGGGGGGGGTAAATCAAGACAAAGACATGGGAAAAAAATGAAATGGGAGAAGCTAATCACAAGCTGATTGGCTACAGCTACGGATCAACTAGATTTTGGACAGGAAGGGGAGGGCAGGAAAATATGGAGAACTTCTCTCCACAAACAAAAACAGGAACACAAAAAAAAAAAAAAAAAAAACTCCACAAAAACATAACGAATGAGAGGAAAGAGCCGAGGGGGGAGGCATGTGGGAGGAGCTCCCTCCCTCCTGTCTGTGTCTACCTTTGGAGATGCCTGATGGGACGAGGCCGGGTTTGGCGGGAGGGGGAGGGGGCAGCCCTGCCTTGGACACAGTACTGTTGGCATTGGCGGCGGCGGGCAGCTGGAATGAGCTGGACAGAAAGATCCCATCGGAGAGCGGGCGGGGCTTGCGCGCGGGCGGCGGAGGCTGCGGCTTGGGCGCGGGGGGGAGGTCGCCATAGGACTTCCGGGTGGCGGAGAGCTTAACCTGACCTGCTACGCCTGAGTCTTCCTCCTCCTCCTCCTCCTCCTCCTCATCATTGTACGAGACAAACTTGGCAGTGTACAAGGTGTCGGGGGAGACGACCTGGGTTTTGAGGTACGAGGTGTTTCTCTGAGGCGGGGGCGGAGGGGCGTTAGTGGAAGGGGTTGCGGGAGCAGGGGGCTGGTAGTCCCGGGGGAGGGGAGGTCTGTACAGACCGGGCTCGTCCGGCGTCAGCAGCTTGCGCTCGGCCTCCTCGTGCTGCCGGCGCCGCTCCGCCTCCAGGCGTGTGTAGTATTCCTCCTCCTGCCTCCTCTGGGGTGGGTGGGGGGGGGGAAAGGGAATGGGAAGAGCCGGTTAGTGCGGCCTACGCTGCCCAGTGCCGCGCCCCCTGGCTACGGCACGGGTGGTCGTGTGCGTGAGGAGGGGCAGTGGGATGCCCCGCCCATCCCCCATCCGAGGGCGGAGGCCTGCAGAAGGCTGGGGGAGGAACCGGCCACGTTTGCTCCTAACTGCCACAAGGTTCCATATATTCCTAGAAAGCCACCAGAGAAGTGAGGCGGGCCACAGCCGGACCGTACGGCTGCCTGGGGTGAGGGTTCGGCTACGCGGGCTGGGGACTCCAGGTGTGGCTTATGTTCACGCTTTTGCTTGGGAACGAAGCCACAGAAAGGTTGGCCTGCTCTGGTCTTTGCACACAAACTCCCCTTGGTTTCGCATTTGTGTGCGGGGTGTGTGGGGTATGTCATCAATGGAAAAAATGGGGGGGGGGGGGGGGGGGGGGTTGGTGGTTAGGCAAAGGGAACGACCAATGGGCGGCTGAGCTCTGGAATGAACTCCACAAGCCACTATGAGGGTGGGGCATTCTCAACAGCGGTCCAAAGCAGTGCCGGGTGGGATGACAATGGCTTTCCCCAACAAAAAGGGAAGGGGTTCATTTCCTGCGAAGACCGGAACAACACAGAGGGACGCCCATGCTTTCCGGGAAGAAGGGCACAAGGAGCAAGACCCATGGTGAGGACATGCAATTCGAGGTTGTACAGGGATTTAAATTACCAGGGGCCTGAAAATGACTAAAGGAACAGCTCAACAGCTACAGTAAGAAAATTAACCTCAAATGGAAGATTTCATGCAAGGAAAATCCCATGGTGCATTCAGGCCACTGTTAATTCAATATTACACAAACTGTAATAGGACAGGCAACACTCAAATCCTACAGCCGTTCATTTGACAGGCAAAACAATTTACTTATTCAGTAGCCCATTGACATTTCTTTCAGGTATACTGAACATATAGTGTTTTACGAATCAATCCATCCTGGCTACAGCGAGGTTGGTTTTGTAATCTTTCACCTTTACAAAAGCAAACTTTACTGTTGACACGGTATCATGGTCATCGTGTGTGTACTGACAAATCCTTATTATGAAGTCTTTACTTCTGTGGCAAAAATCTTGAAAAAGCTCAATGTCAATGGACACAACAGACAAATAGTTGCCTCAAACTCATGCATGAGTTTGCTCCGAGATTGTCCACTGTTAAAACAGAAAAATTTCAATGCATGTATAAATAGGCTAACTATTTTCAGGAGCGGCATCTTCTAGCTGTGAGGACAATACATCCTATTCGGTCCTATATGGTATACCTTAGGACTGGGCGACATCTTAAAAATAAATAAAATAAATCAATGAGACGAAAAACAAAACAAAAGTCAGCTCTAGATCAATGTAAAGAAGCTGGCGATGTGACAACATTGCAATGTTACAAGAATGACAAACCAGCTATTACTGCAACAGGCAATACTGGAGAAATGCAATGTTGTGACAGCCATGCATTTTCTCTAGCTGCATACATGGGCTAGGAAGCGGAACCGAAGGCCAAATCATACATCCTTGGCTTTGTGCGTATCCCTAACCCTATGCCTATTTCCCTGACAAAGGCGATAATCGCTGGTTAGACACTGCCAAATATCGACATAACGAAATATCGTCCATTACCGATAATATTTTCTTATCGCCCAGCCCTTACACTTTTTGTACAATTCTATTGTTTTACCTTTAATGTGAACAGAAAGCACTTACCAAATTCTTCAACCAGAACACTGTCAGCCTTCAGGAGTTTCATTCCATTTTGTACTTCGTACGTTAATCTTAGTATTGCCGTTTAACTTTAGCTATGCTAAAGCGACAGCCCCCGTACCTTCTCCTCGGTTTCTCTCCAGCGCCTCTCCTCCTCCTGCTTGGCCCTCTCCTCAGCCTCGCGCTTGCGGATCTCCTCCAGCTGCTGCTTCCTACGGCGCTCCTCGTCCTGAAGCTGACCAGGTGTACAGAAAACAGGAGCTTCAGGACTGATCAAGCTACTAACGCAGATTGCCGGTGCTGCGCGATATGTATCATTCAAATATCGGTACATCAAAGATGTTTCTGAGGAATGATGAACTACTCTCATGACTTTGCACGTAAAAAAATAAATAAATAACTTGGAGAAAGCAGTGACTTATCACACTGCAAACTGTAGCTGCATTTTATACATAAATAAAAATGACCTCAGTAGACCCTTTGACTGCATTATTCAAAAGAAATTTAGGTTTCAAAACTATGATGTATGCATGTATACATCTCATACATTTTTATTAATGTTGAATTTTACCATATTTGAAGTGAAAATCTGATTCTGGCTTTTGTGGCATAAATCAGTGCAGTGCAGCCATTGACTAAAAAACAGCTTGTGTTGAAACTGTCAATGCTGAATCTCGGAAATTAACAGAGATGTGGCTCAGAGCTTCACTGAGGCAAAGCAGGTGTATGGGAACATACACTGCGCCAAACAGGAGACTTCAACCGAAGGCTGCACTGCCTGAGTAAAGACATCCTAGCTAACCTGAAGCTATTGGGGCCGGTTTGCCTACGGTACCTGAAAGAGGAAGGCAGTGTGCACGGCAGTTAGGCACAGACTGACGGCTGGACATGCGGATGAATGCGACCATGCAACAATGGACACACGACCACGACCACCATTGCCACCGACACAATCACTACAGCGGCTAAGCAGAGCAGAAGCAGCGGAGCAGTAACGTCCAGGAAGATCGCCATTACACTACTGAGTGTGGATTTTGGGTAGCCCCTTCAGGCCAGGCTCCCTGTCACGCGGGAGCACTGGTTGACGACGCCTTTGAATAAATTCATTACATATATAAATGCTGCTGCATTAACATGCACACCATGGGCTGCGTTAAACTAATGAGCTGTACTAATCTATGTTTTCAGAAATGTGACTATATTCCTTAAGTATGCAGCAAACATGGTCCCTGACACAAAATCCAACCAAGAGGGTAGTATTTCTACTTACAGTATTCTCCTATAAGGCTATGCTGCTGTACCTCTGATTGGAAGGTCAACGGTTCAAGCCTTGGCAGAAAATCACATGTCTGTGGGCCCCTGAGCGAGGCTCTTGGCCCCCAGCTCCAGGGGTGCTGCATGCTGGCTGGCCCTGTGCTACAACCCCCCCAAGCTTGCTCTCACTTACATATGCATCTCATGGAGAGCGAGATGGGGTTGGCATGGTGATTAAAAAAGAATCACTATTCTATTCCATTCCGTTCACTTTTCCATGGGATTCTCATCAGTTGCTCTTATTAAAGAAGCTACACATTATGCAGAATAAACCAAACATCACAAAAAGAAAGAAAAGAAAACAACCAAATGTCTTGTAACAATACAGACACATGGTTGGAGGGGCTTTAAATTCCTCCCCACCAGAAGACGGAGGTTTAAATAGCAATACGGACATGATCTTTGGCTGAGAATGAGCCCTAAAGAGCTTACTGGGCTGAGCGTGGCGATGTGGACCAAGCACCAAGCACTGCTCGTGACACACACACACACACACACACACACACGCGCACACACAAACAAACACCACACAGCTGGGCAGGTGGAGCACGCACAGCACGATGACGACTACCTCCCACCCCCCAGGCATGCACATGGAGACTCGTGTGCAATGAGCTGTCAGGTGGATCAGGTGGAAAATACTGATTAATCTCTGGGAACGATGGCTTAAAATGTAGAATGGCAGCCTTATTCTGTACAGGATTCCCAAAGCAGCAGCTTACCAGAGAAGAGAATCTCTGAAAATATAATTATATATGGCTGTCTGGACAGAAACCCGGCCCCCCACCACCACCCCAAGACAGACCACCCAGATCAAATGAGGGGTGGATGAGTGGATGGACATAGCGAGTGGAAGAGATTTCATTTGGGGGAGGGGGGTAAGCAACATACCAATTCTAGAACTGAGATTGCTGGGACAGCGGTCTGCGGCATGGAGAGAGAAATTAAACAAACGAAAAAGAAAGCAATAAAAAAAGAGGGAAAAGAAGATAAAAGTGAAAAAAAATCGCCAGGCCGGACGCAGTGATCTGATGCCAAGAACATTCCTCACCAGTATGAGACTGATCAGAGGGGTGAGCCCCCGTCCACTTCGCAAACATTCACAGAAGTGGAGCGACGCATGAGGTTTTACGAGGAATTTCCACATTGCCTCAAAAACCCACTGCTGGAGCAAAGACGACATTTTCTCGTTGAATAACTGAAGGGCCATGACCTTCTGTGAAACGCTCTGGCGTATCAGGGCATGAAACCAATGTCTGCTGACTGTATTCACATCTACAGCAGTACACGTTACTGACAGAGCTCTCTTTGGAGTAACTGTCAATCACAAATTAATACTTCAGGAAGACTGCCATTTAAATATCAATTAGCGTCTAGATCACTCCCCATGTCGAATGTACCGTAAAGCAAAATTTAAAAGCAGAACTGCAGTACTGTGACGAACAGGTAGATGGCGCCATGTGAACCAACACCACGAAAATAGGGGAGACTAACTCCTACCAGATTCAGGCAAACCTGAACCATGAGAGGTCATAACAGACCTATATTCCTCCCTCCTTATCTGCTACTCCTATTTTTATGTTACACATCAAATGAGCAGTCCACCATGCACCCATTTACCCACCCAGACGAGCTGCCCTCCTCCTGGACACGGCGCACGCATGTAGGGAAAACCTGCCTCAGCAATAACGGCATTTGCGGGACAGCTGCTGGTCCCAAAGAGCTCCATGCGTGCAACCATGACCTGGAAGTTCTTAGACTGAGGTAAGTGTCTGAGAACCTTCAAGCTCATAGCACTGATGCCCCTGCAGCCCCCACCCCCAGCCCAACCCCACCCCTAAAGCCAATTTGTGATTATGGTGCGAGACACTGACCAGGAGGAAATACCCATGCACTGACAAATGGGAGATGAACGTCATCGACCCTTCTGTCATTGTAGAATGGTACAAAGGCATGTGAGTTGCCAGAATATTCTATGCTTCCCATATTCATGCCTGGGTTTAATAATTAACCAAAGCCAGGCTATCAACCCATAAATGTGACAAGAGACTGTTTGTGGCTCCATATTCAGTTCTGCTAATCAGTCTACAAACATCTAATGCAACAGATTCGATGTTATCTTTACCTATCTGTAGGCTAGAAGGTAAAAAAGCCTTGACCAAAAATTGTTTTATTTTACTCTTTAGATGAGAAACTGATATGCAGACTACATGCACTGACACTGGCCTGAATATTTTTGGGCCTGCCAGGCCACCATATTCAGCACGACATCGCAAAACAAATAAACAAACAAACAAAGGAGCAAGAAAGCAAGGCATGCATACAGCACATTTCATCCTACACAATCTGAAGCCCCCCAAGCAGCAAAAACACATTGGTTCCAAAGGGACACTGTCTAGAGTGTGGTTTGTGCTTAACTGGACAAGGAGGGGACTTCATGGGCTACACAAGCAATAAAGCCTTACATCAATACCAGCTGACGAAGTGCTCCTCAGATAAAGCAAGAGCAATGGAGCATGTTCAGACATCAGTCGAGAGAGCAATACGTCTATGGCACATAGGACGAAACACAAACCACACTGTTTGTTACATTAAAGATCAGACGACAGATTCACTAGATCAGATCAGATCAAGGGGCTTCACATTCTTCCAGAGTGATCTCTCGAAATGCAGGAAGATGAATAAAGGGGATGGATTTGCTGACGTCAAGGCACCACATCCCACTGCGTGCACCAGCCTAGGTTTCTTGCCATAGGACAGCGTTTTGGCAGAGCAAAAGCGATGACATGGGCATGTGGCAGGTGCACGATGCAGAACACTCACTGGGGCCGTTCTGAGGGATGAGCATGGGGACACTGGGCCCTTGCTCGCCGCCCAGAAAGCTGCGATCTGCCTCCACACAAACAAACGTGACACTTTTCCCTCACAGAGCCTCCCCCGCTCACTCCCCAGCCTCATCTGTTACCGTTTCTACCATGTGCTGCAACGCCGGCCAGCCCGCTCCATACCTGCAGACCCACGCGATCCCGCAGCCCCAGATAAGCTCACCCTGGCTCTCTTCTCGGCCTCCAAGCGCTGCATGATCATCATGGTGTCCACCTCCTCGTCATCCTCCTCTTCCTCATCCTCCTCGCTCTGCTTTGACTCCTGTAGCCGCTTCTGGAACTGCCACTCCAGCATGAGCTTGCGGAGCCGATCGCTCTCCTCGGCCGTGCGCTCCGGCTTGGACTGCAGGTCCTGGATCTCCTTGTCCAGCAGGTCCACGATGTGTAGCTGCTGCTGCTTCTCCAGCTTCTCGCGGGCGTCCCGCTTCCAGGGGTCCGGCGAGAGGCTGTCGCTGGAGGAGAGCTCCTCCTTGCTGATGGTGATGTACTGGAGGTCGTGGCGCTCGATGGTGCGCGGCTGCTGCTGGGGCAGAAGCTCGCGGATCACCGTGTCCTGCGGGGGCGGCGGCGGCCGGGGCAGGCTGGCTAGCTTCTCGGGTCTATTCAGCTGCTGCGGTGGTACTGGCTGCATCTGTATGGACAGGGGCACCTGAGGGGGGGGCATCTGCTGGTGCTGGGGGGCAGGGGGCATTGGGCCATGCTGACTGTTACGGGGCAGGGTCCCCGGCACGTTGCGAATCTGGCCCAGCTTCCTCTCCTGCTCCCGCCGCCTCCTCTCCCGCTCCTCCTCCAGCCGCGCCTTCTCCTTCTCATACCAGCGCTGCTGCTCCTCACGTTTCTTGCGGTCCGCGGTGGCCGTGGTGGCCGCCACCTGCTGCTGTGGGCCGCTGACCGGTGGGGGAGGGAGAGGGAGGTCTGACTGGGAGTCGAATTCGGCCGTGTAGTGCACGGGGGGTGGAGGGGGCGGCGGGGGGAGGTCTGGGCGAGACGGGTGCGACACCCCCACGGGACCAGAGTGGGGCACTATCGGGGTCTTCCAGCGGCCTGGACCGCTTTTATGGTTGGCCTGGTTCTTTGAGGAGGAGGAGTAGTTGAGGTGCTCCTGGCTGGAGGTGCTGGACTCCACAGAGGAGGACACCTGGTGGTTCCAGGGCTCCCCGCTGCCGCGCTCCCTCGCGTAATCGGCGTCGCGATGCTGCTGCATGTGCATGAGGTCATCAGGCCGCAGCCGGTCGGGGGGGTAGCCCCCCCGCTCGTCACGCAGCTCCTCCTGCGAGCGCGTCGACCACTACAGGGGTGACAGCGGCACAGAGGTTAGAGGCCCAGTGACACCGCCACCAAATGCTGACACGTGACAGCGCAAGACAGGCGACCTGGGGTGTGCTCTCCACCTGCAAGGCGTGGCTGGGGAGGTGCTCCTCCATGTTCCCAGGGGGTCTGTCGTCCGAGTTTGGCCATGACTGTCCTGGTGCTGGGCCCATCCTATCCTGAGATTTGGAGGCCGGGAAGGTGAAGTACTCTCTGGGGTAGGTCTGAGTGGGGATGGGGTAGGCTTCTGGATGGGGGGGGGACGGCTCATCCTGGGGAGAGAGCAGGGTGTTCTAACAGCTTGGAAACGGTGGCAATTATTCTGTTTTTTAATTGAAAATCTATCATAAACAGGTGGCAGCTGATTTGGGAAGCTCATGTACGATGGCACGCGGATGCTTGGTATTTATTACAGAGAGAACATGACAATCATACGGCTTAAATGCTGCAGATGGTATTTAAAAGCTCACCAATAGAGGGCGCCCATGGGAAAGAGGACAGCCTCGTTTCCTACACTAAATGGGTCTGAGATCAAAGAGGCGGCACTGTGTGCCGAACGGCTCCGTGCGTCTGCGTGCCCTGAATACTCACGTCGGCACACAGGTTGCCGGTGGAGACGGAGGTGATCTTGGTCCCGGGTCCCCCTGGGTATGTGGGCTTCCCAGCCGGACTCTGAGCCTGATCTGTGGAGAGCAGACAGTGGGATTTGCACGCTGGCGATGGCAAGCTCTCAGCAACCCGCCGCCAGGATCGCCGTCACCCTTACTCGCCACGTTGGGGCTGGAACGGTGGTCCATCCTGTTCTTCAGCAGGCGCTCCTCACCACCCATCTTCTTTGGCTCGGGGTAGGAGTCCCACGCCCCCTGCGGGCTTTCGGGGGAGCCGTTCTGCACGGAGTTGCTGTAAAGCTCGAAGCCCTCGCTCTTTGGTCTGTTCTTTCCTTTGTCACGGCCGCGGTCTGAAGCTGAAAGGGATGGGCAGGCTTTATGTCAGTGGGTCTATCTGAAACGGTCTGAAGCTGAAAGGGATGGGCAGGCTTTATGTCAGTGGGTCTATCTGAAACGGTCTGAAGCTGAAAGGGATGGGCAGTCTATGTAAAAATTACGGGTGTCTATTGTAGCAGAACAGCCAAAACACGGCATCATTTGGAAGCCCTATCTATGGAAGCTGTAAACCTGGCTCCTAAGAGCCCCTCACCCTCCCTTTAAAAGGAGGTACAACGCTTCCCCATTAAAACATCTGCTCACCCCTGGGCATCAGGGGAGAGGGCTGGTTCAGCAGCGTTGCCAGGCCGTGGTATATGGCGCCTTGCTTGGCCACCTCCAGTGTCACGACCGAGCCAGTCCGTGTCATCAGCTCGGCCGCCCTGGAAGGGAGAGTCCACACACATTTTCACAAAGCATGTGACCCATATATAAGCCCTGTGAACCACCAGTTGTGTTTACCACGACTCAAACCATGCATTTGAGAGAGGTGCCGGAGGTTTGGGGGCCCCTGTTGGCCTCAAACTGTCACTACACTAATGGCGCCACAAAAACAACACACAGGCCCTTGCTGAGAGCTCGCACACTTTCTCACAAATTACTCCCAAAGTGAAAGACATTGTAAGCACGACTGCACCATGGCTCATTCCAAACAGAGCACAAAGTCAAATCTGCACACAGGATTCTCCATGGCACCATCACCAGTTTACTGTGTAAAAGCACAATAAAACAATTTATATGGAAAAGAAAAAAATATATATTTTTTATTAAGTTAACAGTTTTAACCAGACTCCATAGTCTCAGCTACAAAGGTTTGCCAGTTTAACATTTCCCAGCCTTGACTAACAGTAATAAATGACTAGTGATATTGAAAATTAATACGATTAAAAGGTGCAGATATGTCACTTAACCTGCTGATCATTAGTCATTTTCATTGTGTTTCAGTCTGACACAATCGTGCCATCAAGCTTGTTAAATGGAGCAGTCATGATCTGTCCCGGGTCCTACACACAGACACACGTCATGATTTCACTCATCATCACAGACATGCTGGTGAAGGTTACCTTTCTTGTGAGAGTCCTACCAAGCTGCGTCCGTCCACGCTGAGCAACTGGTCTCCTGCTGCCAGCCGACCATCCTGGACAGACACAGACACACACACACACACACACACACACACACACACACACACCAGTGTCTCATAAAGTCTCTTTTATGCAGTTACAATGTTGCTAGGCTGTGCTGAAGAAATCTACTATTTAACTTCTCACAAAGGGAGCACATTTAATAAGCTGCTTGCGTGCTCCACTGTTTTCCTCCTCTCTGTATTTGAGGCCGAGCTCTCATCTGTAATTACTTTTAAAAAGAGACTCTGATCCTCTTCCACTCACCATATCCGCTGCTCCTCCTTTGACAACAGACTTGATGTAAATCCCAAGCTTGTCCTGTCCAGCACCCTGAGAGAGAGCAGGGAGGCGTTAGGGTTCCCAAAAAGGGGCTAAACAAGGGGTCAGTCCTCTCTATGAACCGCGCTGGAGAGATGGCCCTCTGAGATAAACGGCCAGACGTCGATAAATGTTTAGACACAAAACAGAACAGGGCAGCTGCTGTGGCGTTTTAGCACTTGGCTGACAAGGTGGTGAAAACAAAGGACTCCGGTGTTAATCAGAGAATGATGAAGGCAGAGGAAGACACACCAGTTGGGGGCTTTACTCAGTTTCCCTCACACACGCACAGCGACAGCCCTGCCCTCACTCCCTAGGCAAACATCTTGCCTGCCGTACCTTTGCGCGAGAAACAATCCTATTTCCATCCACTGAACGCATTCATTTTGACCCTAAGCGGGTGCGACACACATATGTAGCTAATCAGCCCCCTGCCTCCTTCCATCTGCCACCAAACTGCGAAAAGTTTCCAGGGAGGAAGCTAAACCGAAGCAAAACAAGGACCCCAGAACAAAGCCAGCCACAATATTTGGGAAATATCATGTTCAACAAGGCAGAGAAATAGCTGCATTACCGCAGACCTCGGGCAGGTGGGACGATACTAAAGCAAAAGGTATAGATGTGGAGAGTCGGCCAGCCCCAGACACCAGAAACATCTGGCTTCCCCACAGCAAATAACGTATTCATATCTAATACCATTCCATCTCTAAGAAAAACCACCTGATTTGTTATGGATGTGGAAGCTGGACAAAGAAGAAGCAGAAGTTTCCAGTCTTAATACCACCACTAACTCCAAGGAAAGCAAAGGGGGATTCTTCATCAAATCAAACCTTATTCTATTATTATATGTATCATTAAATTAAAAGAGCATAATGCATGGTGGATGACATATCTAATATCTTCAGAAACAGATACAGGTTGTAGAAACTGTCCCTTCCATAATGTTTAGCTTGCATCCTTCCCACCACTCCCAAAGTGCACTACATATCTCTTTCTGCAGTTTCATTTCTGTCTCTCAAAAACCATTGGATGTAGGGAGAGAGTGTGTGACTGGTGAAGGGAAAAGGGATGCATTTTTGGAGGACGGAAAGGAGACTGATGACGGGGGTGAAGGAAAACAGGGTTTCAGGCCGGTCGTCGTGACGATGGGGACGGAACGCAGAAGCATCACCATCAAACAGGCCGGCGAGATCCTGACTCGAGTTCAGCGCTTTGTGATTTTACAGCTCCCTTGTGTCTAGCCGGCTTTTGCACGCAAGTCCACAGGAAGGGCATGTTATTTACTGCTCCGGTTCCCCGGCCGCAGCGCCGCCGTTCCGTCGCATACCGTTAAAAACAAATGAGTCAAATTTGCTGAAAGGAGACCCAGCTGTAGCCGATGAGTGCGCAGGCGACGGCTCTGCTAGCACGCGAGCAGCACTGTAAACGCCCTGCGTCACGTGAGAGTCACGTGAGAGTCACGCGTGATGGCTTGCTGCCGATGGCTTAGTTTACACAAGAGCTGAGGGCTGTTTAGATGTAGGCCTGCTGTCTGACAAGCCGCTCAAGGTCTCTGATCCCGCCACTGACAGGCAGAGCGTCTGATCCTACAAAGCCGCCACGACTCTGCCTGACTCAGCTGCCTACCCCCACCTACATATGGGAGGACAGCCTTCAGGAAGAAAAGTGAACAGAGCGAAACAGACATGCGGGAAAGTAGGGGGGGGGTCTTGGAGCATGTCGACTCATGAAAAGCCTACCCCGAGGTCTCCACTGTGCTCACGGCGTAAGTGACACTCGCATGAAAGCTGTGGACCACAGAGTCCCAGCGTGTAACTGAATCGGCCTGAGAAAGACGAGGCTCTTTTCTTTCCTGGACCTACATGGCTTCAAGACAGTCATCTCCCACCCCCCCCCCCTAGCAATTTAACCTGAGCTGGGCCAATGGCTAGTTATTTCACGCAGCACGAATGCACCAGTTAGGGGACAAACACTAAACTGGGAAAGATTGGCCCTTGTAATGCTTAAAAATGCAAAAACACTGACAAAATGGTTTCCCTCAAATTGTGAAATAAATTAAATTCAGGAATTGCACCTGCTGAAGCTGATAAATGCAAAAAGGGAATAAAATAGACAAAGGTGACCTAAATGTCGGCATGATTCAGCATCGGCATGCAAACCAGGGCGCACAGACAGAAGGAAATCAAGAGTAGATGAGCAGCTTCTGCGACGCCCAGCCAAAAGTGTGACAGACACGCTGGAGGAACAGCAAAGCGCAGGCTTAGCTACGCATTTGGACACGTCAGCTCCGCAAAGGCGTACAGTAACGTAAAGTTACATTAAAACTCTAAAGCAGCAAGAATATCATTCATTACTGTTTTACTATCAGCCACAAGCAGAAACCAGACACATGACTGTGGGAAGCATGCCAGTCAGCAGGAGCGGTTACTACCGAAAACAGCTCCGTTTCATCTCGTGACAAAATATTTGAGTTCAACTTTGTTCGTTTTTGAAGAACAGTGTGAAAATTACACTGCCTGCAAAATCCACACTGAAAGGCAACACACCCTTTTTTCCCCCCCGTTTCGTAGTGCGTTTTGCCTTCATAGCAGCATTACAATTTTAAGTAGAGCCCCGCCCATCTGAACAGCCCTGGCAAACAGAGCTACCGAACTACAACCATGCAGCAACTGACCTGTAGACAAGTAGCAAAAACACCAGGATAAACAGGAATGAAGAAAAAATAAACCGCTGCAAGCTGAAACACATGCCTATTGCGAGAGAGGACATACCAATACGCGTTTAGCTTGGTTGGAGGCCAAACCCAGACATCCCGAACCATGAAATCCTTCTGAGAACCGGACTCAACCAGTCCCTTGTTTAGAATACCGAATATGTGAGGGGTGGGGTGGGGGTTCTGTGTTGGGCCACCCCTTTGCTTTGGAGTAACCTGAGCTGGTGAAACGTCCCGCTGACCCATGGTAGCAGGTGCCATATGTGCCGAGTGGGGGGGACAATGGCCCAGGTCAGAGCGGCTAACTAGGAGGAGAAGTGGCTCCGGTTACAGGACTGGGGCTGGGGGCTGGCCGCACAGTTACAGGCAGCGGGCGGCGAGGGCAGGACGTGCCCGGCTGCGGGAAGATTAACCTCTGGAGAAATTCTGCAGCGTCCCATGATGGAGACCTTTCAGCACCTGTTTACTCAGCAAATCACAGAGCACTGAGAAACACTTTGGTAAGTTTTCCCCCCCCAACTACTCTGGGTCAAAGGATGAGCCTCAACCTTGATGAAACAGACTGAATTTATCCAAACCTGGACCAAAAAAATAAATTAAAAACAAAAAACACAAATGTTGCAGTCAGATGGCCAACGGAACTGAGGCCCATCACCCAAATCCTACCGTAAAACAGTGATCAAGTCTCAAACTGAGAAAACGAAAGCAGAAAAGCAGCTAGATTCAGAAATATCAGCAAAATTGAGTAATACAATGAACCCCAGGCGAGTACCTGAGGCTTCTTTCTTTGCGTAACTTTTTTATTTGTAAATTAAACAGCATAGCTGCCAGCAAGCACATTAAAACTAAGAGCTGCAAGCTTTTGACCGCAACTCGTCAGCAGACTTTCACCTATGATTTTACCCGAGAAATCAAAGGCACAGAGACATGGAGCATAACATCAGCAGAGTGATTAAAGGTTAACCTGCTGCTATCTGACCATCTGTCATATTATTAAATGTTAAAAGATAAATAAATAAAAGCCTTCACAGCACAGTTTGATGGGGTGGGAGGGGTGTATGTGGGTGGGACTAGAATGTGCCTACTGGTCTGGGTCAACCGAGCTAGGGAAACCAGCAATGAAAAGATATACGCCCCAGGAATCATGGATCAAAGAGGAGAGAGCTGTGAAAGCCAATTCAATGCACTGTTAGCGGGGACGCTAATTGCCAATTGCTACTGATCTTGAGGTTCCTCCAGGCAGTCTTCTACACTCCTGTGAAGCCCCAAGAAGTAGCAGATCCAGAAGTGCTGAGGTGCGATAGCTTGTAAAGCAAAGAGCAGGGGGAACCCACAAGCTTCTGCTCCAAGCCTCTGAGCTTTCCCAGCATTTTCTGCACATATAGTGCGTCAAAGCTAATGCTCATGTTACTAATGTCTAAGTAGAAGTGATGATCACAGTGCAGGACCTGGGGAAACATCTGTTCTATGTCCATCAATCCAGTAGAGTCCCAGCACTGCTCTGCAGATGATCAAATGGGGAATTAATCAAGCTGCTGGCTGCATCCTTAAGAAAAAAAAAGAAGAAAAAAAGACTGTAGATGCTGGTGGAATCAGCAGAGCAATGAGTTTTTCAAGGCAGCCTGTGCTCTGCAGTGTTTCCAAACCCGGTCCGCAGAGACCCAAGGACGGTCCACGTTTCTGCTCCCTCCCTGCTCCCTGCCAGACAGCCCACATTTCTGCTGCGGGCCCCCGAGGACCGGATTGGGAAACACTGCTATGTGCACCCATTCATTTTGTATGGTTCCACTGCCGAGGCTACACTGGGATCTCTGGAGGGGATGCCAGGCCACCATAAGCAGCTGCAGCACTCACAGAATTACTAGTCCCCAGGTCATCCAACGTGCAAGTCTTTGGACAGCGGGAAGAAACCGCTTAAAAACTAATCTGATCGTCGATGGGCAGGTGGAACACAGTCTCAGCAACCATTTGAAAGATGGAAACATCTCACATTACACAGCTACTTGTAATTTATTTTCTTCAAGTCCAATAAATTCTCCGTTATGTGACTATACGTACTAATCTTGACTGTGTAAACAGTAGCAGAATTTTGGTTCTTGGAAGGTCACACCAGAGATCCCGTTTCAGTTACTCTCGTCTTGCCTTGTTCGCTTGGTTGTTGAGCTTCCCGGCGACGTTTTTGTTTTACTCAAGTTATCAATCAAGCTCGTCCCCAGTTTACCCAGTTTGTGGGTGTTTACCCCAGGCTGACTTCCAGCACAAAGGCTGGCTCTGTGCAGCTCCGAGCTCCGGCCTAGCATCAAACAGACCGCAGCCTAGGGCCCCTAATTAGACGAGCGGATACCGGCGTCCCAGAGTCTTAGTCTCCCTTATCATCCGCTAAAACACACAGCAGATGTTTGCGAGAATAAACGAGGGCCGCGAAGCAGACGTAGCAGATTTATTTAAAGGCTGGCTAATTAGCAGGAAGTCTGCAGCTGAACGTGTTACGCAGACGAGAAGAAGCGCCGCCGATGCGCGCAGGCTGTGAAAACCCTCGAGAGGGCGGCACATTTCACACCTGTGATTACAGCCAGACAGGGTGGGGCGGGCGGAGCGATCACAGGTCTCCGGTATGCTCTCCTGCTCCAGGGCATGTGCTGTGGTCACCTGCAGTGGTCTTACACCGACGTGTCTCCAGAGCTAATCAACAGGCCCAAGAGGACCTGAAGGAGACACTTTCCCGACAAGAAGTCCAGAAGTCAGGAGAGGGAGCCCACTTATGTCCTGAGAGTTCAGCACGGCACATGTACATTTAGCAGACGAACCTCAAACCTCAGTATAAGCAGCAAACTAAACTTCACAGAGGCGCTCATCTCACAAACACATTGAGGACAGGCCCTACTGATATATCCCTGAAGCAGGTTTTTCCATGCAGACTACATGAATGAGCTGGATTTCAAATGCTGGTTTTGACACTAGTGTCAGTTAAATAAAACCACATAACAAAATGACCAGATCATTTGTACCTCACTGCTGCATGAGACAGGAGGCAGCAGTGAGTAAACATGCTGGGGCCACCAATAACAGACCATACAGTAATTTCCACTGAACAGTGGTCAGGTGCCCAGTGTTATAATGCAAGTCTGATCAGCCGGAACCCAAAGCGTGACAGCCATTTATTTTCACATTAGTCATCTACTTGGCCAGTTTTCTGTTTTTGAATGACACTTAAATTCTGTTTCCCGTTACCCCATCTCGTCAAGACAGCGAGAGGCAGCGACCTGCAGGGGCGCCCAGGTCACTGTGGATTACAGGTCTTGCTCAAGGGCCCACAGAGTCGCGACTATGTCGCCGAATCCGGACTCGAACCTGTGACCTTCCAATCACGGCCACAGGGAAGATCTCGGACCAATTCACATTTCATGCAATTTACGCAGGTCATTATTTAGTAACCCATGCCTGGTCAACATCTTTGACAGCACTGCATAACAGGAGAGTCCACCAGTACTCAGCACCAGCATCATTTCCAGTAGAAGACTTCCTGACAAACTAGGTGACTCTCACCCTGGTGCCTCAGTGTGACCAGGATCCACTCCACATGGGAACCACTGCCTTTGGGCTTTTACGGGCTACCATCATACGTCTGTGGAGGGCGGACGCGCTATGACGCGGGACCCACTGTTCAGGGGCTGGGACCCGCAGCTGCCCCACCCTGATACTTCCTGTCCCCGGAAAGCTCTGCAGCTCAGCTCGGCAAGTTCAGGAAACTGGAAGCAGAGGCAGGAACAGGTCGGTCCACCGACTAAGCCTTCGCCTGCCTACTCACGCTTTATCTTCTTTGTCTTTCAATGAAAACCGACCGGAAGGTTCTTCATTGCAGCCCGGCGAAACTCATGCAGTTCAGAGGCAGGAATTAATTGCTTTTATAACAGCAAGAAACAAATAACTGAGCAACATATACGGATATAAATTAAAAATCCCTCCCTAAAACTAACACAACACTGGCAGAATATGAAAGGCCGGTGCTCGCACCCACACGCTAGCAGGCATATGAGAGACGCACTACTTCCAGATGTTCGTAGACTTCATTAAGCGAGCGGCTGTTCTTCTTGAAGTGGAGCCAGCGAGAACCGGGCCGTAATGAGCATATTCTCACCAGCACACAAGCGTGCTCCCTCCCCACCCGCCTGACTGACTGCCCCGGTTCTGGGAGGACATGCCGCAGACCGGATACTGTGGAGTACGGCGGGATGAGGGGGTTTGAGACATCTGATCACACAAGTCACCCCACCAGGTTTACTGCCATGGCAACAGTGACAGGAAGTTCACTCCACAGCACAGGCGACACAAGGATCCCCAAAACGGAGGACCACTGAGGCCGTAAACGCAGACAGCCCACGTTCCACTAGCTTCAGATATTTCACTCAACTTAAGTTTAAATATTTATAATCCTTAACCACTCCCAGACGCTGAACATCTGTCTGGAAACAAGCAAAAAGACTGCAGAAGTTCAAAATATATATTTTCCTAACAGTAACCCAGAAAAAGTTTTCCCTTTTAAAGCCAAACACACTGCCCGTGCACCAGACCACACCCGCCCCTCCCAGCAGCGACTAACGGCGATCTTACAGCACATGCTTTCAGGCAGACGACATGCAACTTTCAGGAAGTCTAATTCTCTGAAGTCGGAGCATATCCTCCCATTGTTTCCAGCACCGGCTACATGAGGACACCAGCTCTCTGGGCAAGAGATTAAGCCATTAGGGTGCCGTTTGGGAGCTGTCTCACCCCAAGGGAGCACACATGCACACATGCACGCACACAAACAGGTCAACACTCCAGGTTTCAGGGAGGAGGGGTAATGGTTAAGAGAAAATAGTTTGGAAGCCGAAACGACATTCCACAGGATAGCACAAGAATTCCTTTCCTGGATCCAGCAGGGCCGGCAGGGGAAACGCTCCACAATAACACAGCCCCAACCGCCCCCCCCCCCCCCCCCTGCCATGTGGAAGGCAAAGGGGTCAGGATTTCCCCAGTTCTTCAGCACCCTATTCAGAACCGTCCCAGGGAAGGGGTGGGGGGGCAGACATTAACATCTGGATCTCAGTCAGGACTCCCTCTTCCATTCATCATAGCTGTTCCAATACCAGCAGACAGTACAGCCCGACCCGACCCGACCCGACCCGTCTCGGAGAGCTGCAGACAGCTGCCACCAGCCCACGCGGCACAGAGCACCCGACTCCTCGTTTGTTTTTGTAACCCCATGGACGTATAAACAGAAGCCTGGCGGCAGAGTCTGACGTGCTCGCTAGATTTCACGCGGCCCGTTGTGCATTTCCATACGGCACATCCTGAACCTGTACCCAAAACAGAACGCGATGTCTCTGCCGTTATCAGACGCCACACGACAGCATGCGATAATCGCAGGTTTTCACATGCTTCTGCCAAGCAGATGCGGGTGTTGCGCCTTTGCTTGGAAAATTAGGATGAAAAGCAAAAAACCCACAAGCAGAGTAAGTAACGTGCAGCGAGATTACTAACGGCGACCCGGGCTGAACCAGGACGTAACCCTGTGCCCTCACCGTGCCGAACTCCACAGCCAATCCATTCCGGATTAACAGAGCCACCCAGCACACGTACAAAGCCGCTGGATTAACGCGCCAAGCTCCCCGGGTCTCCTTACCGACTGGTCCCTCCTCCCGACGACCGAGAACCACATGGCGCCGCTTTTACACGCTGGGTCGCGTGGCAGAGGTGTTATGACTGAGCGAGCGGGATCACGGCCCCCGGCAGAGTACGAAGGGGAGGGAGGAGGGGAAGGGGGAGGGGAGAGGCGGGGGGCAGGCGGCGCCACACAGACACGGGAGGCAGGCAGGCGCGATGGTGAAGGAGACAGCTCCATGCTCCGCACCGAGTTAGCAAACATGGGCAGAGGAAAGCACAAGTCCAGATGTGTCAAACACGGCGGCCGCTCAAGACCCCAGCGGCCGCTCAGCAGGATAGCTGTCCCAGCTGGGTGTCATTACACCTCTGTCTCTCTCTCTGTCTCTATCACACACTCACCCCACCCCACTCTCCTTCTCCCTCCCTCCCACTGTCTCCTCCCCCATCACTGTCTCCTCCTCCTACTGCACCTCCTTACTGTTCACTCCTCCAGCTAAAAAACAGGAGCTGTGACACCAGGGAAGGGAAATTCTATTCTGCTTTAAAAGTAAACATTCCATACTTCCCTGCAGCCCCCCACTGGTTAACGGCAAGTGACCCCCCCCCCCCTTCCTGATCATCTGGACTTCATAATGGAGACCGACAGACTATGCTGTGAAGGATACACAGACCAGACAAGGACCACCAACAGAGATATTTGCCCCCATCCCATCACCTGGGGGGGGGGGGGGTGGCAGCAATAGAATGACATGGCAGGGACGGTCGCTCTAATCCACCAGGCATGAACAGGGCTGAAGGGAACATGGTATTTACTGAACATTTCTAAGCCATTATAAAGCCCCGAGTGAATCCCAAATGAAGCGGTTGGTGAACGCCCAACTATGTTCAAGAAAGTTCCGATGAAGAAAGTTGCCCCGTGAGAAAGTAAAGCTCTGCTCACAGGACGCCGTTCCAGCTCGAGCGCCAGCCGCGTAAACCGAAACCGCTGCGGAGAAATCACACAAGGAGCGGCACGTTCCAGGCGCGCCGTTTTCTGAACGGACCGGAGCTGCAGCTACTGCAAATTCGCCCTGGGGGGGAGGTTAGACATAGCGGTGGTGACAGTGTAACTGCTCACCGCTCCCGGCACCAACGGTCTCTGACGCCGAACCAAATCTGGTGGGCCTCGAGCATACGGCTCCGAGCAAATACAGCTTTGGAAAGCTTGCTCCCCCCCCCACTCCCTTGAACACCCCCAGCCAGCAGTAGGTCCTACCTTGGCAGCCACGATGCTGAGCCCCATGCCATTGTGCTTCTTAAGGGTGACTGTCACCACCTCTGGGTCCTTCCGCATTGGCTGAGGATTAGGGGGGGGGAGAGAAAGAGAGAGAGGGAGGAATGGGGGGTGTTAATGAAGTGCTGGGCTGTAGTGGCAAGACGGGCGCCCAGGAGAGATGTGCACAGCAGCTCAGCTGCGCTCGGAGTCCTCTCACCAGGCTGGAGGAGGAGGAGGAAGAAGAGGAGCGTGGAACTGGGGGGGGGGGGGGGGCCCGGCACAGCCCTCGCCCCATCTGACCACGGCGGCTCTCTGGAGCTGCGTCAGGAATGAAAGCCACAAGCCACTGGCTCCCAGGAGGAAGGCCGGGTGGGGGGGTCTTTCTCAGGCTCGTTTGCGAGGGACCAAGAGGCAGGGTGGCAGGAGCACGGAGCCTGGGCCTCCCCACCACAGAGCCACAGGGCCCCACACAGTGCACTACAACCAAATAAAAGTCCTCCACACCACACTGCACCTCCAGAGCGTGCGGAGCACACCGGCCAATGGGACGGCTCGGTGCCAGAGCGTGCGGAGCACACCGGCCAATGGGACGGCTCGGTGCCAGAGCGTGCGGAGCACACTGGCCAATGGGACGGCTCGGTGCCGGGGAGGCCACCGATGGGGGCCGGCACAGTGCGGCTGTTCATGGGAACTGGGCAACATGCTTTGCTCCAGAATAGCTGATCGTCACGACTATGAGGAGTTAGCCCTAGTGTGTGTTGCATGTGTATGAAAGGTCCTCACAAAAATACAGACACCTGATCTGTGCGAGTCTCTAAAGCACTTTTACATGACAATGAGGAAAAACTCTCTACATTCAAACTGTGGTACAATTTGGTTTCTTCTGATGACTAGTAATCAGGGCTGATTACAGACGTGGGATTAACTGTGTGACGCTGTTGGGCTTGGGCGTGACGACGGAGCACTTGGCAGGGCGGCCGTGTTAATTAGACACACACCCACACACACACACACACACTTCTAACTGCCGTGATTTTCAGGGTGATATTTGGTAGGCTATAATCACGACTTGAAATGAAGCTTATAAAAGGCCCAGCCACGGAGGAAGGTGCTCATTAGCGCCCTCTGTCTGCTACACTGACACCCACCTCTTCCCTCAGTACATAAAGCAGAGACGACGGGAGCTGAGAGCTGCCATTGTACTCCTCACACTCGCTTGCCCGATCGCTGGAGTGTGTGGCCGTGTCGGGGCACCCACCAGATTGTGGTCATCCACAATGTGGTTTTCGCAGTCTGCACCCTCAAAGTAAACAGTCCAGGTGCCAGGAGAGCGGAGGTGAGGGATCAGCCTGCAGAAACCTGCAGAGAGAGGGAGCAGGGAGGGTCACACCATGACTGCCAACCTCCACACACACACACTGGTGTCTGCAATTATCAGCTTGGCACAGATTAGCTGGTTAATAAGCAGCTCCTGTAGCTCAACAAGCAGAGCACTGTGCTATTAGCACAAAGGTCACAGGTTTGAATCCCAAGGCAATTTGGACTGAAGTGTCAGAAATTAATGTTAAATCAGGGGGAAGAGCCCTGCTTTTATGCCACCACAGAACAGCGAGGTCCTGTCGAGACAGCAGGGTCTCCACTCCACGTACCCCTCTGACACAGCGGGTCCAGGAACTCCTGGAGGCCGTTGGGGATATTGCGGACAACGTCGCAGGAGTAGCCGTCCTCAGGCAGCAGGAAGGGCAGCTGCAGGTCGGGGTCCTCCTCCAGTTGCACCTCACGGCCATCGCTACGTGCCAACTCGTCCGCCGTATTCTCCGCCACGGCCACCACGTGGTCGATCAGCTCCTGGGCGGGCGTCGGGAAGGATACGAGTCAGGATAGGAAGGAAAATGCTGCAATCCGTCACGTAGACCAGCCTGCCATGTGGGCTTCATCAACAGGCACCGTGGATCGGGAAGCGAACCAGAAACATGAGGACGTTCGGGGAAGTGGGGGACAGAGGCGGGGACACACTCACGGGAGGGATGTAGGGCTCATCGGGGGCACAGTGGTAATTGCTCAGTAAAGCATTGAGCTGCAGGGAGTTGAGCTTGAAGCAAGTGTTGTGGATGTTCTGCACGTCCTGCAAGGAGTACTTGTCCATGGTGAGCAGGGTCGTTGCCTTGGAGAAGCAAGTAAACAGCGCGTTAACATCAGCGGATGGCTGGAAGGGCCCACCTGCCCATCCTTCTAATTTGATACATTTTATTGTTCTCTCTCCTTAGACAGGGTGTCTACAGGTTTGACCAAGTTAAATTTAAGACATTTTAAGACTTTTTAATACCATTTTCAAATGAAATTTAAGACCAAATTGAAAGTCCCGCAAAAGTCAAGCACAAAACTATGAGGATATTTTAAATTATTATTTTATTTAACTGATTGTTCTTGGGAATATTCAAGATCTGACTGACAGGTTCCAGCCCAAACACGACGCAAAACCCGCCCAAATCATCAAAAGCCCAATTGGGTGGAAAACCGCTAAATCTGGCAACACTGACCGTTGTCAAGCAAGCACGTGTCTAGCAACAGAACAGATTTAGAACCTGCGCAGGAGATTCTCCTCAAAACGATAAACTTTTCCTTTTCAAAGTGTAAAAAAAAAAACATTTTAATGATGGAGAAATTCCCTCTAAAATTAAGATTAAAAAATTAAGACCCTTGGATTTAGATTTAAGACAAATTAAGACATTTAAAGGCCTTATTTTAGGACAATGGAATTTAAGACTTTTTAAGACTTTTTAAGGATCCGCGGCCACCCTGCTTAGATACTGCGGTTTGTCCAGAAAGGCAGACTTTACATGGAGGCGACTACGCCAACGTACGTCAAGGACAAAGATACTGAAACTCTGAAAGCAAATAAGTGATTGGGCGGGTAACGAGCGAGCGAGCGAGCCCACCTGGACGATGCGGCTAAGGTGGCAGTCGGCGGCGAGCTCCAGACCCTGCTTCTCGGCCCAGGCCTCGATGTGGCTGAGCTGCTGCCGCAGGATGGCGCCCCAGTAGTGTGAGCACAGGCCCGAGTCCGCCTCCGTCACCAGCTTGTTGAAAAGCCACATGTTGATGAAGTGGAAGAGCTGGGAGAACAGCTGGATGGTGAGAGCTGCGTTGACACGGCAACGTCGCAGCAGGGACATGGCGCCCGTCAGAGTGTGCAGGACATCCTCTGTTGGGGGGGGGGTAGCAATGTCACAGAGGCGATATTCCATTCTAACACACAGACCACCTACAAACACTGTACCCGTTCACCCTCCAGCACAAACATGCAGTGTCCTTTCAGGAATAACCTGCCACACTTGAAGTTCATACAAGTCCACACTAGGTGGCAGACGAGTGGAAATGAGCAAATGATTTTGGGCTTCAGAAAGATACAGCCCTAAATATTCACCTATTTTCGGTCGTTGTGGGTTCTGTTCCTCGGGGTCGTCCAGGAAGGCGGGCATGTAATTGTTGAGATCAGACTGCAGACAGTGAACTAGATACCTAGGGGAGGCCATTTTGTTGGTAACTGGACACAGAATGCACACACACACACACACACACACACACACACACACACAAACACAAACGCGCACGCACACACACAAACGCGCACGCACACACACAAACACAAACGCGCATGCACGCACGCACACAGGCTAGGCAACATGGGCCAAAAACATTTGGTACTTTTAGGCCAAAAAGCGTTACATGATTATCATCTAGGTATTTTCAATGAAGCAGTAAATGTTTAGTTGAAGTCAAATCCATATGCGAAATGTAGCAAACACTTTTAGTAAAACAGAGTGTGGACAAACCGAAATGCAAATACAGGGTTTCCTTCCTTGTTTGCTAATACACAGTGTATACATGTTTTATGTTTGGACATAAGAGTATTTTGCTATGTCCAACAGAAGGTCAATGTTTATTCTACATCAAAAACCAACTTTGAAAATGGCTCAAAAAACATAAGCCTGACATCCACCGAAAGTGTGCTTAATAACTGGAGAGTCATCTTAAGGCATTAGCCTTCAATGAAATAAGACAAAGATTGTGAATTAGGATGTTTGGAAATGTTTTAAAGTGAAAAAAAACAAGCAACGATGATTTCTCGCCTTTTCCCTCCATCAACTCCCCTTCAAGACACTAACTGAATTGGATTGATTTTATTGGAATTCTGGATGTCTGTGCAACATCAGAGCTCTCTCACCATTAACAACCAGAACAGAGTACTGTACACCTCTTTTAAAAAAGAGTCCTAATTTTAATGCACAATAAAAGATATAATCGATATAAACAACTTTGTTTCATCCCCACTCATTTGACAATATCGATATCGTAAAAATTCAACATACTGCCTGGCCCTAACACACACACACACACACACACCACAGTGTGCACATATTTATATGCCAGAACACACACACACTCATACACAACATCCGCAGGCCTGCACAATATTGGAAAAAAATCACATCAAAATATTGTATGTGTTTTCATTTAATATTATCATATTTCTTAATTAAACACAAGGTGTTGAAATTGACCCAAAATGAACTATAGCCAAACAAAACGTATTTGCCAATAGCATCTTTCAAAATAGGTTGGCGGTGTTGCCACAAGTTGTACCAACAAACCACTTGCTTTTCCTCAATATCGTCTCTAAGGAATCCAAAATGCGACAATTGTGTCATTGACGTCGCACATTGAGCGGCTCAAAGCCAGTTGCTAATACAGACAGACTGGGGAACCTACTTGAAGGCCATCTGCACCAGGTGTGCCAGCACATCCTGGGCGTCCAGGGTGATACGGCTCAGGTCCCGGTCCTGTTTGATGAAGTTGAGCAGCTCCGACGCATTGGCCATCCAGAAGGCCAGGGCCCCGGCGATGTTCTTCTGCTTCTGTACGAGCGGCGAGACAGCAGGGGGGGCCATCAGAGAGAGAAGGCCACCAAGGTTGGTATGGGAGGAATGACTGGGTTTGGTTGGGGCGGGGGTGTTAACCCTAAACCATCTCACAGCCAGTAGTAGCAGCAGCAGCAGTAGTAGCAGCAGCAGTAGCAGCAACAATTCAGGGGATAGACTTGTGTTGGGCTTCTCACCATATCCACCCACAGCCCAGTTCCTGGACCAGACACTCCCTCCTCGAAGCCCCCACTCCTGCTTGCCACCATCAGTGACTCAGATGAAGCACTTGGGCATTCGGGGAGGCGTCCGTGCAGAGACTCTCACCCAGGGTCGGTTTGCCAAACCCATAACGGGCTCTCGGGGGGCTGTGAACCACCGAACCAGCGCTGCACATGTTCCTAGTGCGCTCCCAGCCCTCAAGTGCCTAGCAGGCCTGCCCAGGGGAATTACCAGATTTAAGCATCCAGGAGCCACGGGTGGGAGAGTGGGCGGGGCGTGGAGCGCAGTGTCTGGTCACGGTGCGTTATTTCCCCAGCAAAGAGACACATCCCACGGATACGCAGGGCCTGGCGTTTGCGGCTGGCCGGGCCCTGCGTGGTCCGCACCCGTCTATCCCCGACGAGGATGACACCCCCCCAGCCACAAAAACGCATTCAAGAGAGCAACGTTAACCACAGACAAATAGATAAATAAAAACCAATAAGACAAGGAGGAGGGGGAAAAAAAAAAGACAGAGCAAGAATTCCGGCCTGTTTCTCATCCACACTGTGCATTAAGCAGAGGTAACATGGGATGCTGTCATTAAATGTAGCAACAAACAGGGCTTTTCTCATTTTGGTTTTTTGAGGTTCTTTTTTTAGTACTGCATGTTCAAAGTCGCTCAATGAGGGTTATGTCGGTTTTAGGTCCAGCTGTTTCAGGAGGGATTATAGTGTGTTGAGTTTTTGGTTCAGTTCAGCTTTGGTTTTTCGGTTATGGGAAAGAAGCATGAAAAAATGAGCGAAGCAGACCGGGCTGGGCCAGGAGGGGAGCCGTCCCGGTGACATGTGACCTACCTCGTCACCGTCCGCTATCTCCTGCAGAGAGATGTCAGGGAAAACAACATCCGACAGGACAGAGAGAGAGACTGTCAACAGCTATGGCATGGACAGGTTCACAGGCATGTACACACACATCGGCATTATGGGAGAGAGGGGCGCAGCCAACCATAGCAGTGTTGTCCTGGCCGGCACATTTACTTATAACAACAACAACAACAACAACAACAACAAAAATAATAATACAAGGTGGGGTATGATCTCTGTGAATTATGGCTGAGATACGCAAGGAGTCAGAGGCTTGTCATAGAAACCGTTAACAGGATCGTGAGTAAAATGCCCCAGGGTGGGCCAGAGCACGTCAGCTGCTAATGATTAAAATGTTTACACCAGCCTAGAGCTAAAAATACAAAGCGGCGTAGTGGCAGCGAGACCTGGACCATTTAGTGCTAGATTCCGGGGCATACAATCCAGATTCTGCAAAGGCTCGGCAGGCCTGCAAATGAATGCGTTTGCCGTTTTATTTGTATCCAAAGCACCCTGGTAAACTTCATCGCATTCCTCCAGCGCACAATTAGCGCCGGGTGCAGGCTGCAGGCTGGAGGGCGCCCAAACCTCATCTGAACTCTGCCGTGCACCTTCATTGGGCCAACAGCAGAAAAGTATCCCTGGACATGTTATTAGAAGAGCTAATTAAAATTGCCCACTAATTAAAAATGTCTTTTGCGGTGAAAACTTAGGGCTGCTTAATAACAAACCCAAAGCTTTTGAAAGTGGGCTTCTGTTTTTTTTTTT